AAGGCAGCTTCCCCAAGAGAAAACAAAATGTTATTTAAAGGCAACGTCAGCCTGGTGGGAGCCTGTATTTTTGTTTTGTATTAAGAAGGGGAAAAAAAAGAATTTAAAATATAATGTGAAACTGGTTTTTTTCTTGGGTGATTTAAAGGGAAATCTGCAAGTCCCTGACTGCGGATCCAGGGCCCCCAGACTGGCAATAAGTCGACAAAGCGTAGTGAGCTGAGGCTGCCACATGGTGGTGGGAACCTTGCCCCACAGAACCCAGGTTTCCCTCCTGGTCTCCCAAACAGAGAAGAATGAGTCCTTGCTGACTTATATTCTACACAGTGTTTTCCTTTTGTTCCCCTCCAGAGTTAAGGCTAGGACTTCGCTGCACGGGGGACACAGGACGGCCCTAGAGAGGCTCAGCTCTGCCTCTTGCTCAGAGTCCTGGGAGGGCCGAGGGTGGCCAAGGGTTAGGTTCGCCAACTCTGACCAGGCGGAGCCGGAGCTTTTTTAGACTCGTTTGGAGGGTGGTAAGGGCAGGAAAACCTGACAGCTAAACCCTCTAGACAGAAGAAATGTCCCCCAGGAGGTCCTGCTGAGAAAATGACTGCCCTTATCAGGCAGTGTGACCCTTCCTGACGTCATCTTACAGAAAACAGGTCTAGTCAAAGTGTTAATCGGCAACTACTAGTACTGCGATTACTACTACAACCACCATCAGCAGTTATAGCCATTGTGTCCTATGACTTATTCTGTGCCAGGCACCAAGCTCAGCACTTTACATACATTCTCTCCTTTTCTACTGAAAACAACACCACGAAGTATTTACAGACGAGGCACCCAATGCTTAGAGAAGAGAAGTGATTTGCCACAGGCAGACAGTGGCAGACCTGGACCTGACCCGACAGCCTAAACCCCCAAGTTGGATACGAAGATGCCATGGACTTGCTCTACCGCTCCTGGCAAATCACTTGACCACTCTGCTTTAATTTCTGCATCTGTAAAATGGGGATAAGCAGACTCGCCCAGAGGATGCTCTATTCATCTTTTTGACTTTTGTTAATAATAATTATTATGGACAATCAATATCAACTAATAATTAATTGTTAACACTTATTAATTAATACTTGTTAACATAAATAGATAAATAAAGCAGCTACCCTGGTTTAGTTATATTCAAAACTGACCTGTTTTGGAAAAAAAAAAAAAGAAAACAACTTACCCTTTCATGAGTAAGTTAGTAGAAGAGGCAGTGAACTAGATATCAAGAAACGTGGGTTTAGCTTCTAGGCATGACACTGATTTCCTGAGTAATCTCATCCCCTTTATTTCCTTACTAGGCCTCACATTCCTGATCTTTGTCTCTGCCTCTCTTTACGGGAGTATTGTGAGAAAATACAGAAAATAGCCACTAAGTACCATTACTCTGGATGCCATACAATTTCAAGGGATTTATGTCAGGAGGATAAGAGAGGGTATAAGAGAGGGTATAAAATAGCAAGGGAAAGGGGATCTTAGTTTTTTTTTAATTCAAGTATAGTTGATTTACAATGTGTTAATTTCTGGTGTATAGAAAAGCGATTCAGTTATACGTATATATATTCTTTTTCATATTCTTTTCCATTATGGTTTATCACAGGATATTGAATATAGTTCCCTGTGCTATACAATGGGACCTTGTTGTTTATCCATTCTATATGTAATAGCTTGCATCTGCTCACCCCAAACTCCCAATCCAATCCCACCCCCCACCTTGGCAACCACAGGAAGGGGATCTTTTAAACTACTGATAGAGTACAAAGAAGGGTGCACAGGCTTCTGAGAAAAAGTGACTTTTCTCTGCATTGTCACTCAGGCAGTAAGACAAGGCCAGAACTGAAGACCTCAAATGCAACATACTTCAGTGTCTCGCTCAGCTCAACTGAAATGTTCTACCACACGATCTGCCCTATGTTTGGCCTTCCATTTCTAATCTACTGCTTTCAACATTTCAGTCAGCATCACCAAGCAAATGCAAAGCCTTCACACGTGCATCACTCTAAACGCTCACCTAGTCCTTGAAGGTGCTCAACCCCCGTTCCTTTCCCTGCTGAAGGATCTCAGGCATGCGGCGGCCAGAGAGGCTGGCTTATCCTTAAAGCTCCCTAAATCCACTGACAGGGAACTGTCCCCCTTCCCGCCAATTTCACGCTGGTGCCATCAAAAGTGCCCATAAGGCTCAGATGTTTCCAGTTTAACTGAAATACTAAAATGGGGCAAACAGGAAGCATCAGACACAACTGCGGTAGTGACTTATTAATCATGAAAGCAGAATTTTAGTTGCATTTTAACCTTTTGCCAGGAAAAAAAAAAAAACACCTCTGAGATGATGGAAGCCATTGGTACAAAAGATGCTGCCTATGTGTGTATCAAGCTGACTTACACTTTTGATTTAGGACTGAATTTGGTTTTAAGATTTCTTAATTACTCTCCCAGAAAAAAACGTGTCAGGTCAACCAACATGAATCTCTCAGCTCTTCATCAAGGCAGGCAGGCCTGTTAGGAAAGCTCATGTGCTGCCCATAGAGACAGGAAAAAAATAGGAAATTAAAAGTGACTTTGCAGGCCAAAGTGATAGGACACTCTTAAGAGGGTGCCAACAATGAGGAAAACAGCTCTGAATCGGGCTTTACCTCTTTCACGTATCTACAGGTCTCTCACCAGACCCTGGTCAGGGTGAACTGTTACCACGCACCAAACAAAATCACAACAGCTGCCTGGAGTTGGACAACCAATCAGGGCAGGCCTGCTTCTCAACATTAAGTGATATACAAACACTCCAGGCAGATCACAATGGAGTCAGTGTTCAACAGGAGAACCAAAATGAGGAACCAAACCTCTGTCTGTTGAGGCGAAATGGCCAACCAGACATTTTTGTTTAATAGATGAAGGCTCATTTGGCAGGGTCTCTGTGGTGCCGCTCCCACAAACTCTAACTGACAATACCAGGGGCGAAAAACCCCCTTCAGAGCTAACTGCTCCTTATACTCTGAAAACAGTCAGAAGGCGAACTAAAGCTTGGCGGCTTCCCGCTGTCTGATTTCACAAAAGTGCTGGAACATATACCTGGGTATATATTTCTAAAATTAAAGTCAGAGACTAGTACTTTTACTTTGAGGCCTTCTGAGAAGTTCACCACACCCTTCAAAATAAACGAGGATGTCCTCAAGGTGTCTCAAAATCTCACATGTCTGGCATTGCTGCACCAAAGGAACTGACTTTGACATCACTTAAAAAACAGCAAGAGTAAATCCAAACACTTTGTAAGACAAGCACCTGTTCTCTCATGTTAAAAGCATAAATACCCCAGCGAACACTTCTCCCTCTGTCCTGCATCTTAAGTCCCATAATGTGGTCCTGCTCCAGGGTAAGGAGCCTGGGAAAGACCCCAGTGGCCCAGGTTCAAGTCTTCACCCTGAGTCCTAGCTATGAGGCATTAGGCAAGATCTATTTACACCCCCGCCCCCAACAAACACACACCTGCCTCAGGTGCCTCACCTCTAAAGCAGGACAATACTATCTTATCACACAGACATCTGAAGGAAAAAGGAGGTTGCAGGTATGAAGATACTAAGTAAAAAAACACATCACTAATGTTAAGATACTATCTCCCTCTCATCTTTCAGAAAGACCATGTTTCTAGTCAAGGGGTTTTCAACATTTTTCCTGGAATAAACTTCAGACTTCTATTTTGTATTAGGCCCCACCTCTCATCATTTAGCTTCATCTGCTTTTCAAGTTCTTAATCAAGGGACAGGTACTCACTGTCCCCCAGTTAAAAAATAATAATTTTACCATTTACACCACTGATTTCTGTCTCTTTTCTCCATTCATCCCCTAGTCCACCCTTAGGACTGAGAGCAATATTTTAACTTCAATTAGGAAAAATCGGCTTTTTCTGAAGTTACCCAGCACCGAGGAGGTTCCCGGGCAGGTGGGGCTCTCTGTGCCTCACAAGTGGCCTCCTTCTGCCTGGTGCCCGGTGGCTGCAGGATGCCAGGGCCACGATGGGCTTCCAAGATGGGATATTTTATCTGAGCCGACAGATAAAGTCCTGAGTGGAGTGGACAGAAGAACTACAGAGGGGTCAGGGAGAGAAAGAGGATATGCTGCGAGTAGCCTGCACTGCCCCGCTGGGTGGCAAGGGCAGGTTCTGCCTCTTCTCCCAGGCTCGGGGTGTGACCCCAGAACTTCCCAGGAAAGGCCTGAGGTTTTCACTGCCCGGACAGGTGGTAGGGCTCACGGACCCGGCGCACCTGGGCGTTAGGCACCTTCCGCCCGGTGCCGAGGTGAGCCCTCATCCTGGGGGGCATCCAGGGAACAGAGCAGGAGGGGCAGGCCCGGCGGTGGGGCAGCTTGGCGCGGAGGAACAAGGATGTTGGAGAAGGGGAAGCGAGGCGTCCCTGCGCGCGCTTCGGGCGAGCGTGTGGCCTGCGGGTGTGCTGGTTGAGCACGGCGTGAGACCGTGGCCCCGGCAGCGTGCGTGAGGGAGCGCCGGCGGCCGGCCGCCAGGGCCGAGGGCCCGCGCGCGAGTGGGTCCCCCGGCCGCGTCGCTGACCCCCACCATTCCGGGGCGGCGGGCCAGGCCGCAGCCCGGCCCCGGGTTGAGAAGCGACCCATCCCCTCTGCCCCTCGCCCCGGGACTCGCTCAGGTCACCTACCGGCCAAGCGCCGATCTCCCCCACCAGCGAGTGTCACGCTCCGCTCGTCCACGATCTCCCGCCGCCGGTCGCCGACCGCTGCTCTCAGGGCCCACGGTCGCCCCGCCCCGCCCCGCCTCGGACCCCGCCCCCTCACCGCCTTCCCGGCCATCCCCGGGGCCACGCCTCCGCCGGCGGCAGCAAATTTGCCTCGCTTCGCGCCTCCTTGCTTTGGCCTCACCTAGACCCTTGGCCCCGCCCACTCCTCCAATCTAACCAATGAGACAGCGCGTCCCAGCCAGTTCTGTCCTACTGCCCCAAGCAACGATTGGTTAACGAGGCCTCGTTTCCAGGAATGGGCACTATTTCCGGACAGTGTTTATAGAGAAGAGATTGCTGGGCTGACGGATCGACAGAAGGCGGAGGCGGTAGGGGTGTTGGTGTAACTACACATGCGCGCTCGGCTTCTGGCAGTCTTCAGGGTTGCTTTCTTCTGGAGGTTACGGGAAGGAAGGGTGAGCGTGCGCATGCGTGGGCCCCCCTCCCCAACCTAGGACCTGGTTACCTAGGAGACGGCGAGGCGTGCTCTCTCTCCAGGCTTTGGTTGTGTTTCCTCTTTGCTCCGGGCCGTAGCGGCTGAGGCAGGTGTGTTGGTTGTGGAGGGAGCGGGGCGGGGCAGGGGTGTGTATTTAGAAACACTTATATTGAGCACTGGCTGTGAGCCTGGTGCTGTAGAGGCTCTGAGGATAAGATAGGTTCTAGTGCCTGCCCTCGAGGAGGTTGGGGGGCTAAAGGCCTACGCAGGTCAGACCTGTGTGTTGAAACCCAGGTCTGGTGAGAGCGTGCGGCTGGCGTGGTGCAATCCCTTTCCACAGCCAGAGAAGCAACGTGGTGTGAGCGCTGCGTGAAGCATCTCCTCGCTGGGTTTACAGGTTATGGAGCCAGAAAGAAGATTAGAGCTTTACTTATTTAAAAAAAGGACTTGGAGTCTGGATATGCACCAAGGTGTCAACAATGCTTTTCTCTGAATGGTGGGTGGGGGTGGGCGTTGGGGAAGGGGTAGGGGAGGTGCTTAAGGGAGGTATGGATATTTTTTCTTTTCTAACTTTTGCTTTTCCATATTTTCCAGCGTTACCACAGTGAGCTTGTATTTTATTTATAATAAAGAAAATATTTCCACGCTTAAAAAAAGTTTGCAAAATAAAAGATATGCCCCTACCTGGGCACCCCACCCCAATAAGTGGTCTACAACAGGCAGGTGTGGTAAGTGGCTCTAATGGTACGGGTAAGCAGGCCCCATTCAAGGCTGTCTGGGGAAGTAAGGATCACCCAATCTCTGGAAGTGTTGGAGCAAAGACCTGCTCAGGACCACTTTGCAGACAGTGGTTCATAGCTTGAAGTCTGTTTCTGGAGATCTGCATCCAACAGACATCTTGGTTGTCAGGGGATACGGAAGACCATTTAGGCAGAAAACTTAACCATCTAGAGGCCTCACCCACTCACTCAGGCTATAGATAAGTTTTGTTTGGCTGGCCCAATGTTTTTTTTCAATTGAATTTGAATGCCTTCGAGCAGAGCCTGCAGTTCCTCACAGCCCCAGCCCCCATTGTCTTACACCCAACCACTTAACCTATGTCATTTGCCTGGCCACTAAAGTGTTTGCGCTCATGGTCCAGATAGAGCCCATACTTTGGAGCTGGACAGTCTCTGTTGCATAAACTGGCTCTGCTACTGACTGACGTGGGAAATGATGGGTAAGAAAGAAGCTGGGGGCCCTTAAAGCTGCTTCCAACCACAGGGTTTTCATTTCTGTGACTCAGGGAGAGGTAGAGCTTGGCCAGATGGTGGGTTACAGGTCAGTATCAGCAAGCCTGGATGCAGGGCTTGCCTCTTCCACCACCTGTTTGCCTCTGGGCACACCGCTTCTCAGGAAAGATGTGGGCACAGGGCCAGAGTCTGCAGACATTCCCTGGCCTGCCTTTGCCTTCTCCCTCTTTCACCATTCCTTCTTTACGACACCCAGTGCCCATGTACTTTACCCAGCTTCCCTCGACACTTCTCTCGGTCCCCGCGACGACCCACCCACCCTATCAATATTATCTGTCTTTAAATCTATCCACTAACACTAATGTGTATTACTGGGAGAGAGTGAACCTGTTGACCCAAAGTTGCAACTCCCAAGAAGGAATTTCACATCAGGTTGCAGGAGAGGAACAAACCTCTACAGACTAGTGAGGACAAGATTTGGGACTCCTGGTTTCAGCTACTTTCCCCAGGCCTTTCCAAGCCCAACTGTGTGTGAGGTGAGGTAAGAAACAACATGATACTCACTGCAAGTGAGCACTGAGCACTTCTGAGCCTTGAAATGCTGGCATCTTCTGGAAGGAGAGCTTCAGGGTAAAATTAGTTCCCTCCAGCCCAGCTAGTTGAGTCACGACAACCTGGGAAGGCTTCTAGCCCTGAGTCAGTTGTGCAGCCTCAGCTCTGCTTTAAATAAAATAAGTTGGTATTTATGGGATGACTCACACCTGGAGCAGTGAGCTGGGTTCTCAGCACTCAAGGATTTCCGCATCCCACTCCCATGGTTCAAGTCCGGCAATGGAAGGGCAAGACTATGCTCTTCCACAAAGAATAGTAGCTTCTGTTTTTTGAGAGCTTATAAAAAATAAACCAGATGTTTCTAAGTGCTTTGTATGCATAATAACCTCGCTAAATATTCACTCCTGTCTAGGGTTTCCCAACCTGGCACCACTGACATTTTGGATTGGATAGTTCTTTGTTGTGGGGAGGCTATCATATATATTATACGATGTTTAAGAGCATTCCTGCCCTCTGCCCACTTGATGCCAGTAACACCACCCTCCTACACCCAGTTGTGACAAGAAAAAAAATGTCTTCAGACATTGACAGGTGTCCCAAAGGGAGCAAAAGTGCCCCCAGTTGAGAACCTTTGCAGTCTAACCTCACAGAATAATAACTATTATTATCATCCCCACTTCACAGATGAGGAAACTGAGGCTCAGAGAAAAGTGACTTGCCCAAGGTCACTTCACTGTAATAGAAGATCTGGGATTTAAACCAGGTGTGACCCAGAGCCCCTGCTCTCCTGCATGCAGGACTCTGCAAAGAGACTGTGGGCTTCAAGGAGCAAATTGCCCAATCACTTCTGTAGAAGAGTGATGAAGAGTGAGTGAATTCTGTGCATCAGTGAGAGAATGCCATTCTTGGATCATTTCTCCTTTTCTGTTTGCTTTGGAAGAAAGGCAATTATATTCTGGTTTTTATTGCCTTGGTCAGCGCAGTTCATGGTGTCCAGCAATGTCTAGTGGGAAAGTAGCTAGTGAATCATCTCTGTGTCCGTGGGTCTTAGGCCCCACTTTCCTGGGAGATCCTGAAGTTATGCTTGAAAAGAACTCGGATGTGAGGCTGAGATCAGAGAGGACTGGGGGTTGGGAATGGATGTTCCTGAAGGAGAAGCAGCTTTCTTTCTCCATCAGGGACCTGGCCGAGGCTGCAGCTGTAGTGCTGTTGCTGCCCTCCCGGGCTTGGACCTGCCCCGTTGCTGCCACCCAGTCCAGAGGTATTGGTGGGACTAGGGAGGCAGGAGAGGGAATGGGTTCAGGCAGTGGTGTGCTGGGGCTCTCTTCCTATCCTGCCGCCAGGAACTCATGTTGCTTGAAATCAGACATGTTGGGAGTATTTACACCATAGAAATTAGCAAACAATATAAACCAGGCCTACCTACCCGCAAGCTGGTTGTTCAGCATTTACCAGCGCACCATTGCATGCAGGTTCTGGATCCTGATTGACTCTCACTAATTCTGCTTAACAGGGGGAGATGGAAGGGGGCATGGCGAGCCACAGAGCTATGGGACAAGAGGAGGAGCCCCGGTGACGTGGCTGAGGAGAGACGTGTTCATCTCCACAAAGGATGGAGCTGCCTGGGTGGGGGTCTCTGGAACACTGGGCAAAATTGACCTTACCAAGAGGTCATCTCCTGGGCGTACCTGAGACCCCTCCTGACCTTGGAGCCCTCTTAGGCTTCTTAGGGAGCCCTGGGTTAAGGCTTGACTCAAATTCTTCTCACTTCCTGATGGGTTATCCCCTGCTAGCTCACCTCCCTGCCTCCAGTCTCCTCTCAACGTCATTCTCAACCCTTCTGGTGGATTTCATCCTCCTAAGAGACCACTTAGGTCATGTGTTCTAGCCCCAGTGTCTCCACATCTCTTGCCTTTCAATTCCTCACCTTTACCTTTTTCTTCTCAACCTCCAAATGTTATCGAGTCTCCCCAGCCAAAAAACAGACCAGTAAAGAAAAAAAAACCCTTCCCCTGTCTCGACTTTCCCCTCTCAACTCCCAAACTTCTTGGTACTCCTGGTGTCTGCTTCATCTCCCACTTGTGTGTAACCCCGGCGGTCTGTTTTTTGCCCACTATCCCTTCTCTCCATGGATACCCCACTAACCGCCTCTGAGTCAGATGACCTTGTCTTAGCTCCCATATGCAGCCAGCTACAGATGTGATGCTCCGGGCACCTACTGTGTCAGGCCCTGGGGAGGGAGTGCGGGACCTCCAGACCAGTCCCTGCCCTGCCCTTAGGGAACACCCTTCCCAAGGGTGGACAGACCTTGAAAGGTGACTACAGATGAGGACCGAAATCATTCCAGGTGATGAGGATGTTGAGAGGATGGACAGAGTGTACTGTATCATGCAGGGCCCAACCAGGGAAACAGAACTCATTCCGAGTTTTTAAACATGGAATTTCACACAAGGAATTGGTTACACAGAGGTTGGAAGAGCTGAGAAACCCAGGAGGAGATGGCAAGGTAACCAGGAATCCACTATTAGTCCTGGGTTGGGGGGAAAACAGTGTAATCAGTGGCGGGGGGGCCAGGGTCACTTGGAAGAAGTTGGAACCACAGAGAAGATACAATCCACTTCCATAGATACCACTCAGGACTGAGCGGGATGAAGATTCTCCTCTCCTTCCACGTTCCACCCTCTGGTCTCCTGCCAGAGCCTCTCATTGGTCCGGAGCCTGCAGGGGTCAGTCACCTGCAGTGCAGAGCAGAGAAGGTGAGGACCAGATGGGAGGGCAACAGCCCAGGACCACCACCAGGATGGGATGGGAGAGGATGAGGGGGCGACTGACTTAGCGGAGGGGGCTCAGAGAAGGCTTCCCTGAGGAACTAAGCTGAGACCTGCAAGGTGAAGGGGAATTGGAGGAGAAAACGTTCCGAGCAATAACTGACATTTTAAAAAGACTAATTTTTTTAGAGCATGAGGTTCCCAGCAAAATTGAGCAGAAGGTGCAGAGATTTGCTATCTACCCCCTGCCCCCGCACACGCACAGCCTTCCCACTATCAGCATCACACACCAGAGTGGTACCTTTGTTACAGTCGATGAACCTACATTGACACGTTGTAATCACCCAAAGTCCACAGTTTATATTAGGGTTCACTTTTGCTTGTATGGTCTATAATACAGTCTATGGGTTTGGACAAGTGTATGATGACATGTATTCATTATTATAATACCATACAGAGTATTTTCACTGCCCTAAAAATCCTCTGTGCTCTGCATGTTCATTCCTCCCTCCTCCCACCCCACCACCCCAAACCCTGGCAGCCACTGATATTTTTACTATCTCCATAGTAATAAATAAATAAATTGTGATACATCCAACCAATGAAATACTATTCAGCGCTAAAACGGAATGAGCTATCCAACATGAAATGACTTAAATGCATATTACTTAAAAGACTTCTATGCGTATTACTAAGGGAAAGAGGACAATATGAAAAGATTCCATATTGTATGATTCCAACTATATGACATTCTGGAAAAGGCAAAAGTATGGAGACAGTAAGAAGGTCAGTGGTATTTTTTTGCCCATTCTCTTCCTGAGGCTTCACGGATACTGTACTTTCTGTCTCTGTTTCTTTCTCCAGTTCTTTTTTTTTGTTTTTTCGGCCGTGCTGCGCGGCTTGTGGGATCCTAGTTCCCTGGCATTCCCTCTTTCTCCCATTCTTAAAGACTGAGGCACACCCCAAGTTTCAGTCCCAAGCCCCCCACTTCTCTGCACTTTCTCCTTTGGAGTTCTCATCCACTCCTAACTTCACTTAATCATTCTACAAACATTAATTGAGCACCTGGTGTGTGCCAGACACTTGAGTTGGCCCCTGGTGACAGTGAGAGATGAATGAGTCATGAGGCCCGCCCTCCAAGAGGAGATGGACAATGTGGCAATACAATGTGGACGGTAGTAGGAAGTCCTGGGTGAGGTAAGAACACATAGAAGAGATCAAAGAAGGCTTCCTGGAGGAGGTGACCCTTGAGCCGATTGCTGCCAGGTACGCTAGCAGTGAGCCAGGTGAATGAGGCGGGAAGAACATTCAGGTGGAAGGAATAACATGTGCACAGGCAGACAAGGGGCCTGTCAAGGCACATTGTGGACTTGGGTGTGGAATGCAAGGGATGCGGGGAGAGAGAGAGCCTCAGGCTGGCCCCGCAGGCTTTGATCTGGATTGCAGAGGGCCTTATATACTTAGTAGGTTGGGCTGGGGAAAAGACAACATTTCTAGAACACAATTTCATTAAAAAATTTTTTTTCTTTTTTCATCTTTATTGGAGTATAATTGCTTTACAATGATATGTTAGTTTCTGCTGTACAACAAAGTGAATCAGCTATGTGTATACATATATCCCCATATCCCCTTCCTCTTGAGCCTCCCTCCCACCCTCCCTATCCCACCCCTCTAGGTGGTCACAGAGCACCGAGCTGATCTCCCTGTGCAATGCAGCAGCTTCCCACTAGCCATCCATTTTACACTTGGTAGTGTAAATGTGTTGTTGCTACTCTCTCACTTCGTCCTAGCTTCCCTTCCCCCCCCCCCGCCCCCACCCCCCCACCCCGTGTCCTCAAGTCCGTAGAGCACATTTTTAGAGACACTTCTCTGTCTGCAGTGTGAAAGGGTCGGGGTGGTGGTGGAGCACGTTACAAACTAGGAGGTTAGTCGGGGGGCTTTGTAGTAAACCAGGTGAGAGACAGTGGGGGCTGGACTCGGGCAGTGCAAGGGGATGGGGAGCCAGGACAGTCTAGCAGAATATGGAGAGATTCAGAATTGAGAAAAGAAGTCAGCTGGTAGGGTGTGGACCAAGGGTGGGAGCGGTGAGTCTGGGCTGATACTGCTGAGGTCAGGACCCATAGGAGGAGACAGGTTCTGGGAAGAAGAGGAGTATCGGCTTTGGACATATTGTAGCTGAGGTACATCTGGTCCCATCAATTGTCCTTCTTGACTGTTCACTTCCAAATTAACACCTTCAGCTCTGACCTCGATCCTGAGCTCCAGACCGGAATTTCCAGGGGCCCGTAGAGCATTTCCACCTTCTAGCCAGTCGCCTGTCATCTCTACCTCTACGTAGTCCCCCAAACCTGTGCCTCGCCCATCTCCTTCTGTTAGTGACGTCACCACCGTCCCCGGGAGTGTCATCGCCTTCTCTCGCCGACTCACCCCGAGCCACACGGATTCTGCCTGCATAACGCCCTTTGAGTCTGTGGCCTCTCTTTGGCTCTTCTTTCTGCCAGTGCCCCTGTGATGTCCCACCGTTTCCTCTTGCTTCTGTCATTTCCATTCCGATCCTTCCTACTGTCTGTCTGACACTCCCTTGCTCAAAATTTTCAGTGCCTGCCCATTGCCTACTGGTAAAGTACATGCTTGTTCTCTGGCTCTCAAGGTCCTCACAGTCCAGCCCCCACTTACCTTTTTGGCTCTTAATTTTCACAACTTCCTGGCAGACACCCTTACCATCGCCCCAAACCACGCCACGTCTTGTGCGTCCAGACCACAGGCCGTCCTGCAGACTGCAATGCGTCTTCTCCTGCCTCTGCCTGTCAAATCACACCCATCCCTCAAGGCCCCGATGAAATGCTTCCTCTCCACACACCATTTTTCCCAGGTAATTGTCTGCCTCATCTCTCTTAACAGACAGCACCTTAAGGGCAGCTTTTCATCACCGTATGAGGAGTTGGTATTCACTAAATGTGTGTTGAACTGAATTGGCTCAAAAAACGTTCCTCAGATCAAGAACCTGTTGTGGTTCCTCATATTGTCCACCACTTCAAACCTGTTCCTAGTGGCTTCCCAGGCTCCGTCTTAGGTATCTAACCTTATTCCCCCACGGTTCCCCCAAATATGTCCCTTGTTCAATTTCAACTCTATGCTAGAAGTGTGAAAGATAGAAAAATGAATAAAATACACCTTCCCTGCCTTCCCTTCCCGTATCTACCAGGGTGGATAAACTATGCCTACTAATAACTACTATCAGTTTAAAATAATATCTTTCACTCCTGAGTTATCCTGCCTCTCCTTCTTTAAGATTGAAATTCTAATTTTGTTCGTATTGGTGACCTGCTCCTTTTTAAATGCTTCCTGGACTCCCTTGAAGCTAGGATGGCCATGTGACAAAATTCTGGCCAGTGAGATGTACGTGGAAGTCTCTGGGTGGGGCTTCTGGGAAAACTTCCTAAAGGGGACCAACCCAGCTGGCACACACCCTTTGTCTTTTGTCCTTTGTCTTATTATCCTTCTTTAGTCTAGAATGTAGACCCACTGCCAGGAGGTATAGCAGCCAGTATTTGAGCATAAGCATGGAAACTTCATCCTCTGATGGCAGAGCAGAAAGCTAGATGGGCTTTGAGTCCCTGACGGTTCCTTCAGTAGTTGCGGCACGTGGACTCAGTAGCTGCGGCTAGAGGGCTCTAGAGCGCAGGCTCAGTAGTTGTGGCTCATGGGCTTAGTTGCTCCTCGCCATGTGGGATTTTCCTGGACCAGGGCTTGAACCCATGTCCCCTGCATTGTCAGGCAGATTCTTAACCACTGTGCCACTGGGGAAGTCCTCCAGTTCATTTTTCAAACCTCCAGTCCTCCAGGTTTGTCTATTCCTTGAATAGTGGATGTGTGCACTTTGTACAAATTTCAAAAGAGTGTGCTTCTCCCACCTCTGGCCCCAGGTTTCCCTCTTTTGAAGCAACCATTCAAAAATATAGTTTCTTGTGTATTTTTCAGACGTGTTTCGTGCATCTACAAACACATAAATTCAGGTAGCCTCTTTTTTAAAAAGTAATGCAAGTGGACTTCCCTGGTGGTGCAGTGGTTAAGAATCCGCCTGCCAATGCAGGGGACACGGGTTTGAGCCCTTGTCCGGGAAGATCCAGCTAAGACGCAGCTAAGCCCGTGCATCACAACTACTGAGCCTGTGCTTTAGAGCCCGCGAGCCACAACCAATGAGCCTGCGTGCCAGAACTACTGAAGCCCACGTGCCTAGAGCCCGTGCTCCGCAACAAGAGAAGCCACCGCAATGAGAAGCCTGCCCGCCGCAACAAAGAGTGGCCCCCGCTCGCTGCAACTAGAGAAAACCCGTGCGCATCAACAAAGACCCAACACAGCCAAAAATAAATAAATTTATATATATAAAAAAAAAGTAACGGAAGCATGCTATACACAACAGCTCTGTACTTTATTTCACTTTACATATCAGTGAGTTCCACATCGTACATGCTTCATTCTACCCCATTGTATGTCTGGTATGTAATTTACCTGGTCCCCTATTGATGGAGTTACCTGTTTCCAACCCATTTCCTACTATAAGAATTGTTGCAGTAAATATCTTTGTACCTATTTCATTTTGCATATTAATTCATCCATGCATTCCACAAATGTTATTGAGCACTTGCTATGCACCAGGCCAGCTCTAGGCACGGTGTGTGTGTGTGCGTATGTGTGTGTGTGTGTGTGTGCAGAGTAGTGAGCACAACAGGCCCAGTCCTTGCATCATGGAGCTGACAATCTATAGTGGAGAAAGCTACAGGATAGATTCCTAGAAGTGGGTCACACTTTCTTTCAATCCTTCTAATGATGTCAGGAAGAATCTCACTTGGGTAAGAAAGTCTCACTAGTGCCAAAATGTCTTTAATATTATCTTTCTCTAATACTTGCTAATCTCTTCAAGACAGAGTGTTGGTCTCCGATTAGAGTCTTTGGCCAGAGCCTAGCTAGAGTTTCATAACAATGTTTGGTTTTTATTGGATATAGCTTTACATAGATTTTCCATCTACAATCAAAATATGAAGGTTCCTTCCAAAATAATTTAAGTTAAAAAACAAGGTGAGTCAATTTAGAGAAGAATGCTGAGTAAATAATAACATAGGTGGGAATTCAGAGGTGGAAAAAACCCGCAAAACCCGCGAAGGTGTTATTCAAATGACTGAGGTGGGGAAATCACTGATGGAAACGAAGCAAGGAGAAAAGGTGAGGCTCTTTCTACTGTATTTGGTGTTTATTTTTGTATCCTCACTCATCTTTGGTGTTGAAATGGACTTGCATCCGTATTTCTTCATAGGCAGCTTATTTGTTTATCATTTACTATTTGCTTGGTAATTCTTATGCTTAAATTGCACTGAGCTTCTGGTCATGAAAGGGTTTTTTGGTTTTGTTTTGTTTTGTTTTTTGGTTGAACTGTTCCAATTTGCATTCTCTCACAAAATCTCTTCCACTTGGGTTCCCCAGACGCCCTAGCCTCTATTGCCGCCCCTGGAGATATTTGGAAACGCCTCTGCCAGGGGCGTTCATGCAGCACCCTTAGTCAGATTTTCTTAATCTGGTTGAGGCTTGCTCAATAATGCTCTTCAAATATAAGATGATGAAACAACCAAACCCAAGTAGGCCTTTGAGGAGATCTCAAAGCCAGAACCTTCTGAACAATCCCCACAGCTTTTTAGCTAAAGACACAATTAGCTGGGTTGTTGCCAATGTAAACAAGAGTACCTTTCACAAATGGGCTCTTTATGCCCAGTAGGTGGTAGAAAGCCTCTGGCAGAGGTTGCTGGCTATGGTCAGAGGGTGGATGGTGCCTCAAGGCCCTGGAGCAGAGAAACTTTCTGGTGGGAGCTAAGAGGGGCCGCCGTCAAATGGAGGGGTGAGGTTGCAGGTGAGAGCAAGGAGCATCTGGGGACTTGGAAAATGAAAAACAAAAAATAAGGCCCTCCATTAATGACTAAATCCTTGAACTTTGAAATGTGGTGGAGATTAATTATTGAAAATTACTGAGGAACTACCTCATACTAGGCATTGATTTAAGTATTTTGTGAGTACTTAACTCAGTGGTTCTCAAACTTTTTTGGCTGCCTCAAAAATTCTTGAAAACCCCCAAAGAGCTTTTATTTCTGTGGATTATATCTGGTGGTGTGATGCTTAATAACTGGTTCTCTGGGAGAAAAATTCTGATGTGTAACATTTGCCAGTTCCCATGGTGTAAATACTTCCACTGTGACCCATTTTAAGATTCCCCCTGACATAACTGAATGTGAAATGGGGAGAGATGTGCACAATCAACTCTCCCAAGCCAGGGCAAGCTGACTCCAGCACCCTGCTGGGATGTTTATCAATATCTAAGGTATTAGAAATTAAAATTGAGAACAAGTTAAACTATGCATCCATTAGAAATACTAATCACAAACCCGTTGCATGTCAGTATAAATAACATTTTTTGCAAAAATAACTGTTATTTTCCAAAATAAAAAATATTTAGTGAAGAGGGTGACATTTTTTTAAAAAA